AAAAAAAAAAAAAAAAAAAAAAAAAAAAAAAAAAAAAAAAAAAAAAAAAAAAAAAAAAAAGAAAGGAAAATGGTTGAGAATAATTAGGGTTGGAAATAAATAAATAATTAAGAATTATTTCTGTCATTAGCATCAAATAAAGCACATAAAATATTAGTGGTGGTCAAGAAATATTGGTGTAAGGCGTTGGAAGGCAGTGATTAGTGTGGAGAGGTGTGTTGTTTTGAGCATAAAATGAACCAAAATTATAAGAGGGAGAGAATCCTGATGATGCTGCACTCTTGGAACCATGGCTTTCTATCTTCTTCTTCTTTTCTTCCTTCACATTTCCTTCTATCGACCTCGCCGTTTGCCATCTCCAACTCGTCGACTCTTTGTTTCTCGTCTCTCTCCCTCTTTCCTGTCCAAAAATACGACGTGAATCAGTCATTTTCGTCTCACTTATATTAATAGAATCAAAATGGAGAATTGAAGCATATTGAACTATCCACTTAGTTGAGAACCTCTAGTATCCAGACATGCGTATACTGTAACAGCCCAAACTCATTACTAACAGATATTGTCCATCCTGACTTGCCTCAAAGCCTCACGTATTGAACTATCCACTTAGTCGAGAACTTCTACTATTTAGACACGCGTATACTGTAACAGCCGAAGCGCTAACAGATATTGTCCATCCTAGCTTGTTACGTATCACCGTAAGCCTCACGGTTTTAAAAAATGTCAACTAGGACAGGTTTCTATTAGACGAACACAACTCTCCACAATGGTATGATATTGTCCACTTTGAGCATAAGCTCTCATGGTTTTGTTTTGGGCTTCCTCAAAAGGTCTCATACCAATGGAGAGAGTATTCTTTGATTATAAACTCTTAATCATTCCCTTGTGGGATTTTCATCCTCCAACAGTTTCGACACCCTTATTCGTTCCCTCTCCAACTGATATGGGATCTCACATATACTAGCCGTGACACAAACTATGCCTAGATACCTAAATTCTAAATTTCTCGAAAAAATTACCTGATTAAGTGGTAAAAAAGCGGAGTAAAAACAAGAGAACACGGAAGGAGGAGTATTAGGTTGTTGTCCACCCATTCCATGTGCATGGCCATTGTTTTCATTCTGCCACCAAACACACGTAACATGAACACATTTTTGACTTGATGGAACGAGTAAATAAAAGTCAACAACAAAATAGTTATGAAACGAGACGTTAATATTTTTATATTATTATTTAGAATGAGTAGCTATTAGAAAATGGATACCCACCACATGAAATTAAATTACATTAAATATAAATAAGAAGAATTAATTATATATATATATATATATATATATATATATATATATATATTATAGAGAGAGAGGGGGGGGCCACCTTTGGTCTCTCAAGCTTTTGAGAAGAATTACTAAAATGGTAGTTGAAAATTCCTCCAATGCTCAAATCAAGATTATGTCCATTGCCTACATTTAAAGCAAAATTATTTCATTAATATATATATATATATATAAACATTTAATTCCTTTTGTTTTTTTCGTACCTCCATTACTTGCCTCCACCGTTGTCTCGAACCTCTCAGATCTTTCCTCAGTTCCACTGAAAATGGTTGAATTAAAACAAGTTCAGTTCAACAATAATTGAAATGTATATCATTATATATCTTAAATATTTTACTTACTTCTTTCCAATAATTTGATTCATTTGAGTTTCCCAACGTCCATATTTTTGAACAGATAGTCCTCTTAGCTTTGATCCTCCACGAGAAATTCCAGAACTTTGTCGGCGTAGAACATGCACAAACTCTTCTTTGTTTAGATTCTTTGTCTGCAAAAGAAAAAAAAAATTAACCCTTATATTATTTTTCTTTAAATTAAAAAAAAAAAAAAAAGAAGCTCACTTGTTTCATATCTTCGTCGTAATCACTTATGTTGAAGTTTATATCTGCATCGACTCCTCTAAATTTTATAGCCGCTCGATCATAAGCCCTGTTGGGTCAAATTTCCAAAAATTAATCTTGAAATTTAGATGCATATATAGTTTTTTTTTTTTTTTAATTTTATAGAAAAAATGGTAGAAAATAAATAATTAAATAAAAATAGCTAACCTTGCTGCAGCATGGGCCGTGTCGAACCCGCCTGGGAAAATTCAAACCCAAATTACTCATTAAATTGAATGTACAAAAAAAGGAAATAAAAATTGGACTTTTATTGTTTTTTTTTTTTCTTACCCAAATAAACTTGTTTCCCACAATCCCTGACAAACACAAAAATCAAAATTATAATTAGAAAATATTTAAAAAGCTTTCCACGAAAAATAAAAATACGAAATTCCTTAATTGGGAAAGAACCAATTATTAAAAATGAACACCAAATTTTAATTTTTTAATTTAATTACCAAATATGAGATTCCCATCTTCCAGTTCGCCGGTAAAACGTAACACCACGGTACTGCGAGCTTCTGGACCGTGGCCCACGGCGGCTCTTCCTCACCTGCTGTTGTTTTGGCTGCACAGCTTTCAGCTCCTGCTGTCCTCCACCGCCACCAGAATTTGCCGTCGGCGACAGGTTCAACCACTGGGTCCTGAGTACTGGAGACCCAGAATCTCCCCACCCACTGGCAACCGGGAAAAGCGCCTGGGTCACTAATTCAGGAACTGGGCCGCCGCCAACGCCGCCGGGACTTTCCTTCTTGAGAATATCGAAGATTAAAACAGAGGACTCTTCATCTCTGCTGTTGCAGACCTCATCGGCATTAACGACGGAGGAATTCGAAGTCTCCGAATCCTCCATTACGATCCGATCCGTCGTCGCTTCATCACGGTTCATAATCGAATCGTTAAGATTCAACATCATCATTTCTTCTTCTTCCTCCTCCTCCTCTTTCAGATTCCTCTGGATTGTTCTTCAAAAACAGAGCAAAACAGAGAAGAAAAAATCCTTTTTTTTCCTTAATTTTTATTGAAAAGAACAAATACCCAGAATTGCTCTCGCCATTAAAATCAATCTAAGAACCCAAAACCCGAAGAAATTGTGAAAAAAATTAAAAAAAACGGGGGATTTAATTGTTTTTGCTTGTAAGCTGTAAGGCTATGGCTGAATTTTGATGAGAGAGAAAGAGAGAGAGCAGGAAACTGAAAAAGTAAGTAGGTGAGAGAGAAGAGAGGTCTAGAAAAAGAAAGAAGAGATCTTTAAACTGTGAAGGCCAAAGGGATTTTAGGAATATTTTTAAACCCATTCCTTTTTTAGCGTTAAATTAAAGAATATAATAATAATAATAATATTAAATTAAAACAGTTAAAGTTGGATATTATTTATTATGTCGATACCCAAACACGGCGCCGTGCTCAAGATGTTTATGTTCAAACCAATTAAAAATCAGGTTTGAATTGTATTCCTTATTTTTTTTTTTAATTTTCTTTTTTTACTTTTTTATATAAAATATGCATACCACGTTTATAAGCTCGATTTTAAAAAATAAAATAAAATAAAATAAATAAAATATTAATTTTTTTATTTTTTATAAAGAATAAAATTGTAAGGTCGGAGCTCGTAGAAAAAAAAGTATATAGTAATTAATATAATTTAGGAGAGAAGATAAGTATAAGATGCTTATTACCTATGTTTGTTTGTTAGTTAATGTATATGTGAATTGGGTCTACAATTTTGAGAGAATCTTTTAACTATTTAGAAAAATATGGCTTTGTCAAAAAAAAAAAAAAAAAAAAAAAAAAAAAAAAAAAAAAAAAAAAAAAAAAAAAAAAAAAAAA